TTCTTGCACATGTTAGGCCAAAGGATTTTGGTGGTAATTACAGTGAATGGAGAGTAATTAGATGGCATACTCCCGCAGCTTGGTGGTTGAAACAGGCCCCCATCTAAACAAACAAGCATTTCTGGTTTGGTGCCATCTAAATCTACCGCAGGTGCTCTCTTCCCTCGCCGCCCTTGGCTGGCCGCCTGGCCCGCGCAGGCGGTGTGACGAGTTCACCCCAAGAGCAATGCCAACGATGCCAAGGCACATCCCAGGCAAGACCACGAGGTGAAACCGGCCAAGCCTGGCGAGGCTTGGCAGATCTGGAGACAAACCCGTCGGGTCGCCTCGCCCTGCACCAGCACCCATGGAGGGGGTGCTGGATAGACCTGAACATCACATGATGGGGTCTATCCACCACCTTTGGGGTGGGGCTGGTATGTATTTCAAAAATACGCATACGACGATCACCTATAGTGATCTAGATCTGATATTTCTCTTTGGGCTGTTCGGCATAGACCAAGCGCAACTCTACCCCAGTATGACTCGCCCTTTTCGGTGACCCCATGAAAAGATTGGGTGGGGCGACCGCTGGGCCCCAGATGAACGTTCACCGGGACCGTGGCGAACCGTGGTGTCGGTTCAAACGTCATTCACTTCGCGCTCTAGTCGCCCAAGGGAACCTGGAGGATTCAAAGCTTGGCATTGATGCTTCAAGAACGTCAACATCAGCCCCTCTCTCTCCCATGAGCCTCACTCTCCCTCAACGGTAGCTACACTCTAGACTTCCAAGACCATTAAAAAAAGGGAACGACCTGGCTTTTGTAGTGAAAAATCCTTAGTTGATTCAGCCTATTAAATTCATGGTGGGCCAGGAAGCCTAGACAAAAAGGCTAAATCAAACTTATCATGCCGTGATCATGCGTGTATTGGAATGCATGGCTACCTCTTGGGAGGACTTGGAGGACCCCAACCTTTGGTAGTGGATCCCTACATCCTCATAACGGCCCTCCGGTCGAGGTAGACGAGTCGAGCCCTGGGTGCTTTCAGAACGTCGTCGACTAGATGACCCGAGCTGGAACAC